AGCTGCAAAGGGAGTTGTATAACCAAACAAATTTGCTGGATTGACCAAATATTTTATTTTACCTGGATATTTTAATCAGAGCTTTGTAACTAATACTTGGTTTTTCACTTGTACCTAATGAGTCAGTCGTCCTTGATGCTACATATAGATAGATGTTTCACTGACTGTACCTGAATATGGAATATTTCAAATGTATAAGGTTTTTATCACTTAACCATAAAGCTGGTTAATACGAGTGACATCATCATGGGCTAGTATTATCAGCAAACTGAGAGTCAGTGTATAATACAGACAATGTCACCACAAATATCAATCAACTCTCAGACTAAGTGATATCAGGTGATAAGCTGAGTATCACATGAATCATATGTTAATTTTTATTTGTGGCTGTAATGGTTTTTGATAATCATCATATTTATTTCAGTCAGCCAACTTATGAGCTTTTGTAGTTGTATTACATTTAGTGATTGTTGTTTAGACTGAACTAATCGAATCACTTTAATTTTGAACAAGCATAAATTAATGGCACAATTATTACAGTACATGTAGTATTATTTGAGGAATATGAGTATTAATTTTTTTTTAATTATGATAACTTCATTGTTCTTGTCCATTTTTGGTCAGAAATGGTCCACCAATATTTTTCGTGCAAAATGTTTAAATATTACAATTGCATTGATGACCAATACAAGGTGACGAGTGCGTCGTTTGTTTGTATATCGATTATTCAATCTAGATTCCCAATGGGCAAGGTTGTAATAGTGATGTTATGTTTTAATAGTGACTCTCTATCAAAACTGTGTATATATCATACTGTTCATTATTTTAGTTTGTCAATTCATTTTTTTGAAGTTACCCATACATCAATACTCTTGTTCTGAGGGCATGACAATGCTTCACTCCCAATTTAACTCTTGCATCAATTAAAACATAGTCTTATCAAATCGCAATAATAAATTCATGGTACTGATATACTGGTATGATGTAAATTCTAATAAATTTCATGTTTTTGTGATGTGGTATATAAATTATTATATCATGATTTGTAAAGACTTTTTGCAATTACTGTATAAATATGTACTTTACTTGATTTTATATGAATCTTTGTATTTTACTGTATATGGTTAACCAAATGCAACCAGTTTTACACTAATAGACTAACACTTTTGTGTGTAAATTACTGTAAAATACTTTATTTTCGTTTGGAAATTATTTTCACTATTTTCGCTGAAGAAAATGTAACTCTTCCTCCTATATTTTACAACTCATCAAAAATAAGTGAAAATAAACTTCATACAAAACACAAATAATCTTTTCAGTGAAAATTAATTCCAGCTATAATAAAGCACATTACAACATTACTAGGAAAATTGCAACCCAAAGAGCTTCTAATCTTATCTGTATATTATTATACTACATACATGTACTTTATTTCACACCAATTCTGTTAAGAACAAAATATGCAGGTAAACTATAGTGACCCGTCGCCCAAATATTTCCGACATTGGTTGTATGTGGTATAATATTCTTGGTCTGATTTAGAGTAATGGTTGCTCACCAATTAGAATTGATATTAAACATTAAAAGTACAAATTCTTGCTGAATGATAATTTATACTAATGTAAATGAAACAATATGCATACTTCTTGTAAAAAAACAACATTAAGTAGCACACAGTCGCCTGGTGATTTTTAGCTTCAGTGTGTGTGAAGCACACAAGGGAGGTAATAAACTTAATAAAAGCAAAAACTTCTGAGTGGATTTTATTATGATTTTTTTTGCATTATCACGAATATTTTCAAGAATATTTTCAAATATCATCAAACAGTAAATAATTTAGACTCAATAAATACAAAATATATCATATTTGTTCTGACAGATACAACCATAATGTTATTTATAGATCACAATGTTGTTGCTATCATTAAAAATTCAAAAAAAAATCATGAAAATTGGTTTACTATGCAATTCGTTTTAAAATTACGTGATCAGGGCATCACATCATTGTGGGTTAATATTTTTTATTGGTTTTATTTAAAATATGCATGTATTCATTATCATATATGAACATAATATCTACATCTTCATAAAAGTGGATACAAAATACTTTGTATGTTGTTACCTTTGATTGGCCTATTTCAGATTTGTTAATTTTGTGATGATATCTTCAAGTCTCTATTTTTAGCAAATACTTTTGAATTCATCTTGATTACCAGCTGCCGCATTTCTTTGAGATTTGAGGAGTATATCATTTTTGTGAAAATTTTGTTGGATGAAGTTAATGCGGGGGAGTCGTCACCTGCGCATGCGTCAGATGGCCATAGCGTGTCATTGTTTACTAACGAGCGTCTACCCATAAGCCTTTGCGTTTTTAGCGTGTGTTGTTATCGTCGCTTGGGACTTAATTCCCGTGCGTGCGCAGGTGACGACCCTCTCGCTTTAAGTTCTGTTCTCTAAAGTCTGAGCTAAACTACTTTTTGTAGTTTAACCTTGTATTGTCTTATGGGTGTGCTTGCTTGTCTGGAAGGTCAGTGTACTCCCACCTCATTTCACCCAAGGGAGCAAATGCATCATATCGCGGTACTGTTTGTGACTTTGTTACTGATTGTTATATTGGTGAGTATATAGTTGGTTCACTGTAGTCAGAAAGCCAACATATTCAGTTATTTTAGACATAGATATATCAGTACACTTGTCATTCGAAATGAAGACTTATGACTCTAATTTAATGTTGAACAAGAAATTGGTGAGTGAAACAAATACTGTGGAATACTTTATTTAGCTGAAATTAATTTTCGCTGAAAAGGCTTTTTGTGCGTTTTGTATGGAATTTATTTTCACTGACTTTTGATGAGTTTAATGTGAAATATAGGAAAAAAAGTATATTCGCTGGATTTTATTTTCACGGAATCATCCCTTCAGTGAAAATAGCGAAAATAAATTCCAAGCGAAAATAAAGTATTCTACAGTAGCCCAGTTGTTTGCTATTTACATGCTGGTAAACAAATTACAATATTACCAAACATCCGGTTCATAATATGACACAGAGTGATATATATCAGGTAATACTTGTAAAGCAGGCTCAGACAACTATTTTGCTAGCAGAGCCATAATGATTCACATGATAAATATACATAATATATTTACCACCACCAAACTAATCACATTTACACATTGTGCATTTAATAAAATAATGCAATATTCCCCTTTGGTTCAAAATATATTTTATCACTGTTTTGGAAACTGATTTTTGTTTACAATTAAAAAGTAGTATCAACTATATCTCTATAGTTTTGGCATACAAATTGTGGCAAAATTATATTTGAGCGTATTCCACAATGTGACGTCTTATTGCACTAATAACACAATATTG